CAATTTATATGAAATTTTGGTTCATAAAAAATTTAAGTATAAGTTCATAAAATTACTAGTATTTTTAAGCCTGTTATGAACGTTAGCAATTTTCTAAAGCGAACAATATATGGAGGCCATGTCCAAATGTAAACCGATTTTGTCCATTTTGAATACCAATCAAACTGCAACAATAGTTTAGGTAATATCGTTCTTTCAAGAGACTGACACACATGTCTAGATCGTTTTAGAATAAAAACCTAGAAAATTTCGATGTTACAAATGAAATCAAAGATTTATAATCGAAACTATATAATTCAAATTAAATGTTTCACTTTTCTTAGCTTTTTAATCAGTTTCTGGTTAACAGTTTTTCAAATCAGCCGGTTAAAAAGGCGTTTTGTACCTATGTATATCCGAAATTTATTGTACAGCCAGGATGTATGATAACTTCTGTAAACAGATTTTCAGCATTTTTTATATAAAAAGTTTGGCGTTCAGCTGTTGCATACAAAACCAACTATTGTGAATGAATAGTTTACAGTAGTTCACGATAGCAATTTTCCCTTCGAGGGGAATGAAAATTTTAAGGGAACAAAAATTTCACATCTATTGACGATATGGGTAAATATGTTTACATAAATAGTTTTCATTATTTATTTGTTGTAAAAATAATTATTTTCAGTGAATTACTCTCAAATTTATAATTGCCATAAACATATAATTTTTACAGTAACTAAAATATGGATGAAATTCAATAAACATAACAATTGTATGGTTGTGGCAACAAAATGCCGAATCATTTTTTTCTCTGCTTGTACATACCTTAAGAAACTGTATATAGTTATTAATTTTTGTCTAAGCATGCTAAACAAATGTTATTTTAGATGAAATTTTTAGAGGTTGTCTTGGATTTTTGCTCATATCTCCGTTATTTTGCTGATTTTAAATATTTGTTTATGATTTTATTCCCAAAGATATCTGGGGTCTTCAGAAAATTGATTTCAACAGACAGACGGACATAACTTAGTTGACTCCGCTATACATAAGGACTCGGAATATACATGTACTTTGAAAGGAAAGAAAAAAATCTATATGCAATAAAGAAGTGGAACAAAATGTAATGAGTCGTGATCATCGAAGGACCACTGTATGTATGTATATTAGACCGACCCTTATTAAGTTATGATCTTACCTAAAATATTTCGGGCTTAGAGTTGTACATTCGCGAGCTGGATAATTTTCTGTGGGTCACGATTTTTTAAGTTCGATTCAAAATGTTATCCAGTTTCAAAAAATCTTTGTTTTATTTTATGAGGGTTCCCAAAATATTTTCGGTCTATTGATGGTCGTTCGTGAGCTGGTTACAAATTTTAGATTTTATTTTAAAATTTTACAATTTTTTCTTAAACAAAATATACAGTATGTGGTATCATCCACCACCTGGATAACAATCTTGCCGCGATGTGGTGGCTTAGTGGCTGTGGTTCTCTGACGCGCTGTTAAACTCTGTTGAGCTTTCCCGCATGACAGCGAACTTAATAGCCTGCATGACCAAAGAAATTTCGACGAGACTTTGAGCACGCATCTGGTTACCAAAATGACCACTAAAACCCACAAAATGTTGGAATGCCTGAAGAGTCAGAATCCCAACATCCACATGGACAACTGGTCCATCATTCGCGCAGAACTATTCGACGGCTACACGTGCCTCCGTCTCTGCTGAGCACGAGAAAGCAGGATACAGGCTCTTCTTCGGGTTCAGGGATACTAAAGTGAAGGTGTTCCGTCCGACAAAATCTGGGGGTGGCGATGCAGCTGAAGTCGAAGTTACAAACTCTCTGCTCACCGAGATGAAGCTCTCAGAACCCCCTCCTAATCCTGACAATGGCACTAAAGGTAGTGCAAATTAATCTGAAGCATTAAAAATGTGGTACAGGGTACTCCTAGCTGAGGAAGACCTCGACATTTGCCTGGTTCAAGAACCCTGGGTCACAGACTCGGAAGTCAAAGGGTTCCCAGCGTCCACATACAATAGTCTATATGCAAGAAGTAATGGTAAGCCTCTTTGTACACGGTTTAGCTCAGAAGACCTAACAGTCGCAAATGTCGAGTTACCGAACAATAGAAGCTTTATCATTGCCTCAAGCTACATGGCACTGAGAGGATAGCACCACCAGCCGAAGTGAGCGATCTCCTGCCTCAAATAGGAGCATCTGACGACATAATCCTGGGCTGTGATGCCAACGCCAGGCATTCGATCTGGAGTAGCAGCGAAATTAATTAAAGGGGTGAGCCATTATTCAAATTCATTAATACTAACAATCTAAGTATATGTAATTCTGGTAACGCACCAACATTAATTTTTCTTAGTACGGGTAATTATAATGGATGGGAGGAGGTACTAGACATTACACTCATTAATAAAAAATCTAAAATATCAGCTGATTGGTGGAGAGTATCCAATAAAAAGTCTTTCTCAGACCACAATTGAATTCTCTTCGATATACGATTACAAAACCCGACAGAGAAAACGCTCTATAGGAACCCAAGAAGAACCGATTAATTTAAATACAAAGGGATCCTCAGACACAAACTTAAGACAATACATCGCTGGTCTTGAAAAGATAGAGGAAAACTTTAGTAAAGTTTTGATAAAAGCTTTTGAAGTTTCCTGCCCAATCACAAAGGCAAGAAAATCTTCCCTCCATGGTGGAATTTGGAGCTATCTAAGCTACGTAAAGAAACACGTAGAGTCTTTAACACATGCTATAAAAATAAATCGTGTCAGCCATACCGCGAAAAACTAAGTCTATAAGAAAGCTATAGCTGTCGCAAAAAAAACCTCATGGAGAAGTTTCTGCGAATCTATAGACAACACAAAGGACTCTGCTAGACTTAGCAAAATTCTTGCTAAAGGCCAATCTAACCTATATTAAGAGGAAGGACGACACTTGGTCAGAATCCTCGGCAGAATGTCTTGATATCCTACTGAATACTCATTTCTCCGGCTGTAAAGATGTTGTCAAGGAAATCGTCAATGACAGTAGGTATATTGCACATTAGGGATATAACTAATTTGGCGAAATTTTTGGCATACCACCACGAGATGGCCAATGTTGTATAATTATTGAAAATAATTTTTTTATGTCATTTGAAATCAAAAACATCAGGCACCAATTTCTAATATAAACCAATTTTTTTTTTTAATTTTAAGATTAAAATATTTATATATGGGCATTTCTACCTAGAAGTATATTTTTGTCACATCGCGACTCATCATTACCTATATCTCCGAACTTTTTGATTTTTCGCAAATATACTATTTTACATCCCTAAATCAAAAAGTCCATAAAAAGTTATTTGTTGATAATATTTGATTTGACCATATCTCCGATTCATATGGACCGATTTTACTGGTTTTAAACAAGTAAATACTTAAAAGCATATTTAAATTAATTATCTAAGATTTGGATCCCGAAGACATATGGAGCCTTCAAAAAACTGATTTTAAAAAACAGACAGACAACCGCGAAAAAATAATAATGTAATTTCTCATAGTTTTTAATACTCTATTCGACTATGAATGCCAACTTGCATATTTGTAAAGAATGTCAATAGTTATATCCCTATTGCACATCCTACCTATAGATCTGCATATAATGGCCATATCTGCTTTCAGCGCAGCGAGGCTTAACTTATCCGGAAGTTGGAGATCAAGAACATATGGACACGCTAAGATTTTAAGCCTAGTACCTCCAATCTTGAACCAACCATCCGACTATATTACCCCACACACGGACTTTGATAGAGTTTTCAAAGTCAGAGTTCCTTCCAGGAGCGAGTGGTGTACAGGTAACCTACCGAGCGAATATACCACCTAAATCTTCACAAATGGTTCTAAAATGAACAGCGGTGTTGATTCTGGTGTCTTCTGTGAAAAAGCTGGGGTAAGTATATGTCACCATCTTTCCGACAACTGTAGTGTCTTTCAGGCTGAAATATTTGCAATAATGTCAGCCTGTAGGGTACTACATGACCTCTATATTCGCGGCAACATAGGATTCTTTGTCGATAGTCAAGCGGCACTTCTCTCACTAAACTTTTATACTACCACTTCCCTATTAGTTAGAGAAGGATCTGTCAAGGCTGGTTCGCCTGTCTGGCATTACCCTTGTTTGGGTCCCTGCGCATAGGGACTACTATGGTAATGAACGGGCAGATGAGCTTGCCAGAACGGGATCTGCTCTTGATATTTCCAACGCCGTTTCAGTAGCAACTCCGTAAGGTTTCATCAAGAGCAGTATCCTCAGATTATTTTTCCAAAAGGCTGCAAATAGGTGGAATAACCTAGACACATGTAAAGGGGACAAGTTATTGTGGCCATCCTTCAATGAGATCCGAAGTAGGCGGGACATATCGAGGCTGATAGCAATGAGAACAGGGCACTGGGTGATAGGCAGACATGCAAGTCGGCTTGGGCTCCCTTTTAACGATCACTGTCGCAGTTGCAAAGACAGGAAAAAGAAACGGTCTTAGATCTTCTCTGTGAATGCCCTGCTCTGGCCTTGGTGAAATCGATCTAATACTATAAATACTACTTACATCTGACGAGTCCGGTCTGGTCAAAACGGAGTCTCTTCGACTCTACTTGACAGTTCGCCTGCAGTGAACTACCACGTTAACCAACCAACCATGTGGTATCATTTGAAAAGTTTTTGAAGCCACTTTTAATGGTGAACAAAATTTGCCAAATTGTACATACATTTTATTTGTATTAATAAAAAACCTAACGATTTAAAATTTTCTGAAATATGACAATTATTAGAAAACGGTATTTTACGATTAATATATCATTGAACGCGGCTTAAAAATCCCTATCAAATGATACCCCATATATTTAAACAAAATTATATTTAAAACAAAACTAAAATATAAATTACAAACGGAATGACAAACTTATATGTACGAAGGAGAAGCGTAAAAAAAAACTGTATGGCATAAAAATACTATTTACTTACAAAGCTTTCCAATGATGATTCCCAGCGTTTTTTAATACACTATTTAGTGGATCTGTACCTCCAGCTAAAACACTGGCATTGTGAATTGCTCTAAAATGTGCCAAATCAGCTCCATTTTCTGGTATTTCTTGTATGTGACAATTTACATAAAATTCATTTCTTCCATGGTAAACAAAATCATTTGACTCTATTTCCTTTACAACTGGAAGAATCCACGGTTCCTGATCAGATTCTGCATGATACCATATAAATATGTTGTCATTTACTTCACAAGATATCCATTTTTTTATTTTTGAGTTCTGTGGCGCTAAAACAATAACAAAAAATATATGTAAATAAGAATGTTACTTATCATTCCATAAATAAAAAGTCTCAGTTTCGATAAGAGAATATTTTGGACATTAAATAATACAGAGATGAGGCCGGTTGTCAAAGACACAAGTCTCCTGTCAAAGGCCTAACTGGTGATTTTGTAAACACTTGTTATGCAAAGATATAAATGTTTATTGGAATAGGACGACAAAGGTATCATTTAAAAGACTTTCGAAACCGCATTAGGAAATTAAAAAATTTCAAATATTCATAACACAACTTCCGTAAAATTTTAAAATATTAAAAAAAAAAGATTTAATTTTTGATTACTTAGTATAGAGATTGTTTAGACAAATTAGCAGAATTTTATTTAATTTCTATCTTGCAGATATTTATTTATTATTTTTTATACTCACTTTTTTGTCCATTCTTTTATGGTATAATATTTACATATAATTTACATATGTATGTCATTCTAAAACGTACAATAATTTTCAAATTTTTTGTTTTGTTTTCCTTCTTTTTATAGAAAATATGCAAAAAAAAAAACAAAAAATGTGATTTAGTTTTCATAATAAAGCATTTAAGTTGAATTGTACCTTGCCTCAGATATACTTAAGCCATTTATTGTTAAATAAAATTGTGGACATTTAAGTTGAATAGTGGCTACGGTCAAATAAGACCCTATAATTAAAAAATTCATGAGGGTCATCAAGGCTAGTATAGAACTTGATTTTGCAGCTTTTTGTCGAGATACGAGTATATTAAACAAAATTATAAACTTAAAAGCCCTATTAGTCCGGTTCAGTTATATGGGGGCTAGGTGAGATAATGTACCGATCGGCTAAATCGACTCAGAAAATGATTCTAAGCCGATTGGTATACTTTAAGGTGGGTATAGGAGCAATATTATTGTGCGTTACAAACATCAGCACAAACCCAATATACCCTCCCCACTAATGTGGTGTAGGGTATAAATAGGATTTTGAACATAACCCTTCCGATTTCGATAAAATTCGGTACACGCATTCTTCATGTAATTACGAAATTTAAAATTCTTCAAAATTTTTAAATTCGTTACGGTTTAGATTTTAACAAGGTTCAATGTTCATATTTTTTATATTTTCTAAAATATTTATCCGATTAGTCCCTAATAAAAGCGAAATATACAGTAAACAATACATTTTGCAGCTAAATTTTTACTTTGGTCATTTACCCAAGAAAAACTTACATTGAAAAGTAATGAGTTAAAATGCTAATAAAACCTCTATTCACTACTTCTTCATTAGCATTTTCATGGAGGAAAGTACTTCCACGCTCGCTTACAAATAGGAAGTTAAAGAAGTACTTGCAATTTATTTTACAACGAAGTTGTTTAGTAAGTTGTTTTATTTTTTAATAATAAAAAGAACCTGCTAGAATACGAACCAGGGACTTCGGTTTGTTAGTCAACTGTTCTACTCACTGCACCACTGCTTAGCTATTTTATTGCGCGTCAAATATTGGTTTTCACATACAAATTTAATTTTGTTTTCTTTTTTGTAAAACACAATTCTTAACACGCAATTAAACAAACAAAATAAAAAAGTCGTAAATAGAGTCTTCTATATCAGATTAGAAGAAAGTCATTACTAAAGTACTTCTAAGTAATGCAGACGATAAGTAGTAGTCATTGAAAAGAAAGTGGTTATGGAAGTTCAACACATTACCGAGTTTTTGCTGGGTAGTTTAATATCATTTTTTAAAATTTAAAAAATCTGAAACATTTTCGGAAAATTATAATATTTTTACTACTTTTGCTGTTACAAAAAAAATTCTGATAACCAATTAAGAGCGTCTCTCAAGGACTTATGATACCAAAATTTCATATCTTTCCTTTGCAAAGGGGTCAACTAAGTCATGCTTACCAGATTCAGAAAAGTTATGTTTTGCATACTTACCACAAGTACTATAAGGTACATTGTCGCATTTTCCATCACTGCCACGAAAACTCCATTGGTGAAATGGACATTCAATAGAATCATCAACAACTCGGCCACCAACACCTAAATTAGCTCCCATGTGTGGGCAGTACGCGTCCAATACGTAAACTGTGTTATTTAGTGTTCGAAATACTACAAATTGTTCACCCAGGGCGGACACACTTTTGGATTCACCTTGTTTGAGATCTGAAGACTCCATTATGCTATACCATCCATTGGGATATGGCGGTGGCAGTTCTTTAACTCCAATTTTGCGTAATTTGCGTATTCTGTTTATAGCATCCTTTTTATTAATCGCATTTAATTTTTTTTCATCACGCAGAATTACGTTATAACCGACTTCATCAATGTTCTTTAATAAACAAAAAATACAAAAATATTTGTTTATATTAACATTTTAAAAATACAATTAAAAGGTAAGATGATATACATATATATGTACATTAGATGTATCCAAAGAATATCGATTTTGCTTGGATGGGTCTTATTTTGTTCATTAGTGCCGGAAATCGATTTAAAAGTGTAAAATTGGGTAAATTAATTTCTTCAAAAATTGTGCTTTTATCTCTTCTTATCTTTTACCAAATCTTATCTTCTTCTATCCAAAGAGGTATAAACCATTTATATCAAAGGACAAACAACAAAGTTATTGACAACTTCCCAAGCCATGTATTTAAAAAATCATGAATTTTTTGCATTGTTTTGCATGCAGAAGTGATGTAAACAAAAATATCTAAAAATAAGTAAGAAAGTATAGTCGGGCGTGATACCATATGATACCCTACACCACCCAGCAAAAAAAGAGCGAAGTTCTTTCAAAAGAATAACATTTATCACCACTTCAAAAGTAGCAATTAGTGATTTTTTTTTACGTTCTGTGGAAGTGATGTTTAATGACTTCTGAAGAAGCGAAAATAATTATATTTTTTCAATGCTGAAGATATATTTTTGTTCTTACATTTTTGTGAGATGAAAAATTTTATTTTTGGACTTCTGTTTTACCCTTATTAATGACAATATTATTTAAGTCAAATTAGTTGTATTCCATAATAATACAATTTAACTTCCGAATAACTTCCAAAAAAGAACATAAAAATTACTTCTTAAGAATTACTTTAGAAGTAGTAAATTTGGAATCAAATAAAAAGGACATCCCTCCTATGACAAGCCTGTGTTAAAATCATCACTTCTACAGGTCTTTTTCAGTACTTCCATGGAGTAAATTCTACTTCTTTTTCTCTTCTTTGGAAGTTCTTATTTTGCTGGGCAGTTATGAATATTAAATGTGATTTATTTTTCATAATAAAACATTTATCTTCCATTGCCTTCCGATACATTTAAGCAATTTATGGATGAAAAACCAATTTTCTGAAAGAGGCTTTATATGGGGACTAGGGGTAAATATGTATTTGTAAAAATGCCTATATCTTTGTTATTTGTCGCTGTTGTCGATGGTAATCTATATATATAACAAGTAGGAAAGTATAGTCGGGCATGGCAGACCATACACCATTGAGTATGTTAAAAATGTGGATTATATTTAATAACAAAGCATTTAAGTTGTTTAATTCCGAAATATTTTAACAATTTGTTGAAAAAAGTGATTTTCTAAAAGAGAGGTTATGGGGCTATCCTTATAAATTTTGGTACATTGCTTTACTTTTACATTAGAGTTATGTATGCTGGATTTCATTGTGATACTAGTGTTTATTAGTGAATTATTGACCTTCAAGTCATTTTCTGAAGGGGCCTTTGTATGGGGGCTAGGGTCAAATAAAGTCCGATAATTATGAAAATTGGTAGTATTATTAAGACGTATATAGAACTAAGTTTTGTTGATTTTTGTAGAGATACTAAAATCCTAATATATATTATAAATTTCTTTGTAAGTTTGTTTATTTGTTTGTAAGACAATCACGCCTAAACGGATGAACCCATTTTCTTCAAATTTGGAACATAGAAAGATATATGTCTGGAAGCGTCAATAGGCTATATTACTTTTCGAAAATTGGACTAGAAGGGGGTAAAAAATTTTGTGCATAAAAACATATTTTTGTCTATTCTAATGCGAAAATATTTTCGATTTAGCAATCTAAAGTGTCAGAAATATGTATTAGCAAAGTTGCGTTGCGAAAGTTGGAACAAAACGGGTATAAAAAATTGGGAAAAGGGCGAAAAACTGGTAAAATCGGTTCTTTTGCGCTTGAAAACTGATTTTTGTATATTCTAACGCGAAACTATTTTGATTTAGCTATCTACAGTGTAAAAAATTTGTATTAACAAAGTTCCTTTGCGAAAGTTTGACCAAAGCGGATAAAAAATGGGGGAAATGATGAAAAACGGGCAAAATTACTGTTTTTGTCCTTAAAAAGTGATTCTAAAGCTAAATACTTTCGATTTAGCTTTTAAAGTGTCAGAAATATGTATTGGGAAAAATTCGTTGCGAAAGTTGGACCTGAAGGGGAAATAGGCATGTGGATAATTCAAACTTAACGGGTAATACACATAATTAGGTACTTTTTCGGAAATATGCAAATACTTGAGAAGTATTTTGCTGTATTCAGTCAAAAGGTATATTTTAGAAAAATTTAATTGGGTAAAAAGTGGAGTTTCGTGCTTTTTCTAAATATTTATTCTACAAATGATGCAACATTTATTAAACAACATAAATTTTGGAAGTCTGTATTTAATAGGGAAAGAGGGAAATGTTTTGCATTTTGGCACTTTTTTCATACATTTTTTAAATGTTGCCATAACTCAATGATATCTCAATTGTAGCTTTATAAAATAACAAGAAATACATTTGTGAATAATGGCTGGGCCGACTTTAACAAGTTTTAAACAAAGATATATCTTTAATTAGAAGTTTCGATTGGTTATATCTTTATTCCAAAAAATCAGAAAGGGACGAAATACGGAACGCGGTAAAATTATTATTTTTTTAATTGAAGAAACAAAAGTAATTTCTACTTACATATATACTTAACCCCTTATTCACAAACAAAATTTTTATTTTATGTATGGTTTATAAATTAGATTTTGTATGGAAATTTTGTTTATAAACCTTTTATAAAATAAAAATGTTGTTTGTGAATAAGGGGGTTAAAATTTTAATTATTAATATTTTAATAAACTAAAATTTACAGATTTACAGAGGCTTTTGGTTAATTCGTGCATGTTGTTAAAAGGAACGAATTTTGTTTTGTAATTTTAAAATGATATGAAGTTTTTGAATTTGTGGAAAGTTATACTACTCAATATTTTAAATTTATAAATATCAATATTTTTGACAAATTAAACTGCAAAGGAAATATTCGTATTTTTGATACTTTTTGTGATGCAATTACGTCTTATTATGACAAACGACTGAATCGAATTTAATGAAATTTGAACCACACACTTTACGGTTTTGGGAAGCTTTAATAGCCATTTTTCGAAACATGATTCAGAAAGGGGAAAAATTAGTACATACTTTTTCAATGTCAATGAATATTATCTGTATCTGTCAAAATTTTGTGTAGAAGGATACGGAAGAGATCGTCTAAACACAATATGTAATGAAACCTTCATACATTTAGAGAAAATACGGATGGAAAATTTGACATTCGTATAGCTCTCTTCGTCGCATTAGATCAGGAATATATTTTTATGTAAACTCAAAAAAAGTGAAACAGCTTACTTTGTTATTGTTTTATACCAATCGTGTAAACAAAAAATTATAAAACATACGAATGGAATTTCATCTTACTTATTCTTTAGACTTTACTTACGTAAAGTGTGATAGTGTGAAGGCCCCTTAAGGAAATATATATATTTTGCTTCTCAATTTTTTGTAAAGTATCTTTTCAAATGCTTTGAAGAGTTTAAATCATGCTTGAAAGGAGAAAATGATTAGAAATTTTAAGTATTAATATTTTTATAGCTTTATGAAATTAAAAATTTTAAAGGTAATTTTTTACCATTCAAAATTCTTTGAAAAAGGGGAAAATGTGTGTTTTTGGTAAATTTTTTGAAAGTTGTTCTGAATTATATATTTTGAATGTAATTTCGTCATATTCATTTCAGGGGTAAAAATCAAAGTCAATGTTAATTTGCATACATTGATTAATGTTATAAATCACTTAAAATCCCGGGCAACGCCGGGTACAAAAAGCTAGTATTTAACATAATTATGAACTCATAAGCCCTTTCCGGGGGGTAGGGTTGGTAAAATAATGGACCGATTTCAACCATTTTCAATAGGCTTCGTCGTTGGGCCGAAAAACACGTATGGTCCAAATTTGAGCAAAATATCTTGAAAATTGCGACCTGTACCTTGCGCACAAGGTTTACATGGACAGCCAGCCAGCCGAACAGGCGGACGGACATGGCTTAATCGACTCAGAAAGTGATTCTGAGTCGATCGGTATACTTTAAAGTGGATGTAGGACCAATATTTTTGTGCGTTACAAACATCAGCACAAACGTATAATACCCTCCCTACTATGGTGGTGTAGAGTATAAAAATGAATGTGTGTTTGTATATTTGAAGTTTATAGACTACTAAACGGCTGAACCGATTTTCTTGAAATTTTCACAGTGTATTCCTGTAAGAGATTATCTGCTACCTTTTATTTTTAAATTTCAAGTGGGCGAGGAGCCACGCCCATATTAAGAAAATATTAAATAAGTATATCTGAGGTAATATAACAGTTAGAGTCCTCAAATTTTGTCCGAGTCACTTTAGAGTCAATATGATTATTTAGGATAAAAAGTAGGCGGACTAGCAGCAGAGGGCATGGCACCTCCCATATAAATTAAATACACAAATTCATTTATCTTGGAAACTATTACAACTAGAATCTTAAAATTTTGCACGAAGAAATTTAACAGCCATGTAAATATTTTGGGCTATAAATTGGCGGACTACTAATGAGGGGAGCGGTACCTCCCATATGAATTAATTACAAAAATTCGTTTATATGGGAAACTAATAAAACTAAATTCTTCAAATTTTTGCACGAAGAACTTTAATATTAATCTGAACATTTTGTAAAAAACAGGGCGGATTTTCATCTGGGGGTCTTGGAGCCCCCATATAAATTAAATAGAAAATACGTATATCTGAGAAACTATTATAGCTTTTGAGAATAACGGGCGGACTTTCAATTTTCAAAATTTCGTACATCTGGTAAACTGTTAGATTATAAAAAAATTTTCATAGATTACATTAAAATATTAATTAACGTTCGGGAAAATTGTCGATAATAAGAAAAAAAGTTTTATTTACTAAATAAAAACAGTTCATTGAAAAACATAACTAAATAGAAATGAGATCATATAATTATGATAATGAATACACACTGACAAACT